AAAATCCAAGCCACTCCCCTACATCAACCTAGAGATCCTACGCAACTCAGAACGACTGGTGTCTCAAACTCGCCCTATTTTCAGAAAAACTCAATGAACTCGCTATTACACCAACTTCATACAAACAAGAATTTTAAATTAACAAAATTTAAACCTGCCAATTTCCTACAATGCCCACTGTTTTCATACGCCCTATTCAAACGAAGAACGCATGGAGATGTTTCCTATATTTCCTTCAAATTTGTCGGCAGTGCTTGATTCTAATGTTAAAATAAGGACATTCTGGTTAATTGTTTGATGTAAAAGCCCGCCACTGAGAAGTTGCCTAGTTTTTCTGGCCTCGGTCTACGTCACATAAACTTCTCTTCCTGAGATTTAAAATAATTTCACATAACAGAGGAGCCTGCAAAAAAATATGTAATAGAACACAACGAACCTCGCATCGTTCGTTTTTCTTAACGGATAAAGGATGAACCGACTTCGGGTAATTACGTTGGTTTTTTTCGACAACCATCGTAGAAACAGTTTACGTTCAAGGTTTTAAGGATTCGAGCGAGTTGCACAGGGATCTGGGTAAAAGTTGTTCAGAGACCACCCACAGTGCTACTGGGGGGAGGAGCCAGGGATTAAATTGAAATGACAAGCTGAGAAATGGAGAACAGTCACTTGCAAAATATCTACTTTATCTGATGAAAATCTCTCTGTAGACAGAATACAAACGACGAGGGACATATCCGACCTTATGTGGCTGAAATGTTTTCGAATCTGTTTGAACTGCTCTATTTTGCTTGATGTCTAGGCCCCTCGGAAGTCACGAAAGTGAAAATAGTAGCTACATGATTTAAAAAAACATCAGGCGAAAGGAAATAACACTCGTCCCAGATTGGAATGTTTGAGGGCAGGCAGAGAGAACGGTTTTCTGCTGAAGTTTTTTCAGGACCTGCCTGACCGACAAATAGAAAAAGTGCTACCTTTAAATTTATTTGTAATGTTCTGTTCTGTAAATGCATTTCCCTATTCAAACTCAGTGTAATATTCGATTTGAATTTAACGCTACGCGAAATAAAACGATATCTTAAAAAGTCTACGGATTTGTTCCGTAAAATACAAATGAACAGAATTAAGCTTACATACATACGGCCACTCAGACCCGTTGTTTAAATGTGGTTCAGTTTAACGAGTACACTTCAAAAGAACAATTCATATTATCCATTAACCATTGATATATTTTCTTTTACCTTCAGCAAATACCATATCTCGAACAGAGCTTTTGTGTTGATCTGGACTTCTAGAGAGGCTTTCACATCCGTTTTAGATCTGAAGCTTTCTACTTCACCGACCCACCCCCACCTCCCGAACCATGCCAGAGGTCCAATGATGGGGTTAGTGGGATACTTCATAATTTTTCAAATTTTCCTCTCGAGAGCCCCGACCTTCACGCACATCGTACCAGACTTACTTCGCGTGTCCGTTCTTTTCCACCTAGCATTCGCTACTCAGGCTTAATTCTAAGTTGTTTTTCATTAGTTTAACGACAATGTTAACGAAAAAGAAATCATTTTCACATCTTGTTTAGTTTTACCTTCTAGGCGGAGGTGACCTTATACTTGCATATATACCACTGATGCTTGAATATGAGGAGCCCTGGAAAGTAAAGGGATAGTACAGTCGGTTATCTCAGTCACTGAGATTATTCAAGAAAATCTTATCATTGATTGTCAGATATCATTTGTAGAGAAAAAAATGGAACACTGCATAAAAGAAGCATTCATCACATTCAGTAATTGCATTGGTTGCACATTGAGACAATTCCACTCACCCTTTTCTTTTGTTGGTTATCAGGCAAGAGAGGATCTGCACTTGGCTTTGGAGCCAGATTAGATCCAGGTGTAAGACCAACCTTTCCTTTAATTCTAAACATGGGTATAAAAACCTGTTCAATAAACTGAATTTGCCCACGGAAATTGATAACAAAGAAAAAGTCGTTTGCAAAGCAATTTTTATGCTCTAGCTATTCTATCAAATAACATACTTTATCTTCCACCACCCAAAGTTGCTGGTGGCCAGAACTTCAACTTCCTCACCAGCTCTGTAAGTTAGTTCATCATCACTCTTAGCTGAGTATGACTCAATTGCAACCCAAAAGCCTGTAGTATAAGTCAGAGGACTTGATCAAGGGGGGGAGTGGTTCAATGTTCAATGATAAAATGACAGGGGAGGCTATTCATTTTGCAATTCTTGTCTACCAAAAATGATAGAATTTAAGGCTCTCAGCAGAGCTCAGGTCAGTGGTGATTGACTATTACATGGCAGAACAGTGATTTCACTGGCCAAGGCTGCAACCATTTTGGAGGCCAATTTTCAACCAAAGCCATCAAATTGGTCATCAGTGTTCAGCAGTCAAACAGAAGGCTGCAACCTTTTTATGACTCTAATAACTCCCACTTTTGGGTCACATGCATGTGATTTATTGAATTATTGAACCCTATATGTGAAGTCCTTACATTACATTATTATGAAACATAATTCCGACAGGGACAGGGTGTTCATTTTTGGCATGGCAGTTAAGAAAATGATATGGTAACCAAGGAACCTTCTGAAATGACACCCTGACCACTTGGTTTAAAATGCTGAGACTCAGAAGGGACATACAAACTCCTCTGACAGAACATTATCATACAATACCACAATTGGTGAACAAGATTTATCACCACATTAGTGTCACTGTTAAACTCTATTTTACAGATAGTAGCTTGTTATCATGAACATAGTCCCCAAGGAGAGCCTAAATTGTATTTGATTCAACTCACTTTAAATGGCTACCCATTCACACCAACAATAGATTCACTACAGATATTAACCTCATAACATAATGAAGATAGTCAGTGTCTCTTTGTCAACTGGCTGCAATAAGGTGATAAGAGTGAAGAAATCTGTCATTGGTAGCATCTTGATGACCATATTACTAACTAGATGATTTGTCACAACTTTCTAGTCCATAGGAAGAGTAATTCCTATCTGAGCATCAATCAAGTACTGAGCATGTTACGTTTTTGTTGTAATAGAGAGTGTCTCATAGACCCTTGTCAATTTATGGTACTTTTAGGGGAATTATGAACAAAATCTAAATTTGAAATACATATATTTCTATGCACTCAAGGATATTATTGGAGTTACCCTTTCTGTTGCTTGGTGTGGTGAAATCAATTGAGATACATTTTTCATTGAACAGATTGTGACATTAACATACTATTGTCTGTCATTCAAGTAGCATCAGGAGGTTGCAAGAGCACAAGCAATTGAAGATAAAAAATTTCTGAACCTGATAACCTTCAACTAGTTTCCCATCATACTGAAGGAACAGCAAGCATTAGGAATGCAAGTTGCTTTGAGATGGAGAGAACCCAAACTGAGGTGGAACCAGAATACTATATAGTATGGCCAGCTACTCCATTAACCCTTGGAAAAAAGACTTTAAATCTTAAACATATAATATCTGGACAAATCAAAGAGAATTAAGTAATTTAATGTTAAGTTCCCCTTAGTTCATCATATGTCACACAAGACTTACGCTCATCCTCCTCAACATCTCTCCATTCCTCCTCTTCTGTTCGTTGCCTGGAGTCCACTGGTTCAAGAAAGGTTGCTGGAGCAAAACCATGCTCCCCTCTTGAATTTGCAACAAGCCACCAACCTATTATAGGAATTGGGGCATTGAGAAAAAGTAAATTTAGAGTCAATACTAGTGTAAATGCCAAAAGTGCAAAAACATTTTTAATGAACTCTTTCTGAAACATGTCTCATTCCTGATCATTTCCCTCTGGATTCCCTCCATGTTGCTCTGTAGAACATCTAACCTTGTTAAAATCTTAATCACTTAATACCTTTCCAGGACATTTCTGTTCTGATTCATACACTGATTGCAAATATGGCATCCAATTTGAATTGCCATTGTTCTGGACTCACTAGCCTCGTCTTCACGTGGAAACACAAAAGGATTATTACATGTATGAGAGGCTAGTGAGTCTAGAACAATGGCAACTCAAATTAGACACCATATTTGCATTCCGTGTATAGTCTATGTCTTTGTAAAAGATATTAGAGGTAGTTGTGATTAATGCAATTTAATATCTCAGTTGACAAATATGTTTAAAAGTAAAAAACCTTTTCAAGAACTAGATAAAAGTCAAAACAATTAAACTTGAATAGGTCAACATATACATGAACTTCAAACCTGTACTGTTCTTTTCAATGACTGTTACCACTTCATTTTCTCTCAAGCTCATCTCTCCCCTTCCTCCACCAGTAAATTCTGCCACTGATTGGTATCTTTCAACAAGCTCATCATCACCTCTTCCAAAAGGAGAATTTGGCAGCTTGGTACTTTTAGAAGTAAACAGAATATAAAGTCAAAAAATGCTGAATTAGCAGTCATGTATAGATATAAATTGGTTTCATGAGAATTAAATTTTCTTTTTTTAAACATCAGTACAGTCTTGGTGAGCTTACCTTTTTTCATTTGATTCAATCCTAACAAATGCATCTGTCCCCCACTGGCTGAAAAACTGCTGGACTATGTCAGACTGAGACACAACAGGTGGTAGCTGAATCACTCTCTAAAAGATGCATAAAACTATCAGACACAGCATTTTATAAACATGATCCTAATTTGTCTTTGAGAGGTTGGATTTTCACAGCAGGGGCCACTGAATTAAATGGTCAGTCTGATGACACTCAAGGAGGAACTCAAGACAACATTACTATGAAAGTTAAATTAAGAGGAAATATCATAACCTGCTGAAGTAATAACTTTTTAGTAACCAAGCGCTAAGTATCATCCTGGGAAATATTTGTTTTAGGTGAAAGTACATGTAAACCAAGCAAAGGTGCTCCTCAACATCAGTTTCTCAAGGCTATAATTAAGTTTCACATTGTAACATAAGAGTTTTATATGAAAATATGCCAAAGTTTTTAGAGTGCATGATTGCATTTCCACATGACCGTCTTATTTTACATCCCCAGTTCAAAGCCAATCATCTAACATATGAGGTTGTTTATCTAGAATGTAGATATTTAGGCCTTCAAGGTGGTGCATGCTGTGTCTGTATAAATTTGGAAAACTCAAACCAATATAGAACTTCAATACCACAATATCTACTATAAGCTTTGATGTTGGATTGTGGATAACAAAACAAAATGTGAACATCAAATAAAAAGCACAAGTTAATTACTGGTTGGAATATGATGTCATAATCATATGACTAATTATGGGGTCAAAATGTGACAATAGGTGAATCTCTTGTGGCAACATTAATTGTTCAATATTTGAAAGTAAGCCTACCTGGCAGAATTCTTCAATGTGTTTACACTGTTTCTTTGCTAATGCTCCAAACAACATTCCACCAGCAAAACGAGCAACTGTTTAAAATTACACACACCATATTGCAATAACATTGTCAAAGATAAAGGCAAAAAGCAAAAAGGAGAGAAAGAGACAAATAGTTAAGCATGGCTAAATTTTCTACCTAGGATCTTAGCAGTCCTAAAATTTAAATTTTCAGCATGAGTGTGAAGCTGGTTGAAAATAATTGAGCAGACTTTCTTTCCTACTTTTTGGGAAAATTTTCAAAACAAAAATATGACTGATCGGTGCAGTATTAAGATGAGCAATGGAATAAACAGCTTACAATTTATACAAGCTAAAAATCAGCAACAGAAAGTTGATAAAATAAATTTAATTTTGTATTTTACTCAGAACCATACAGTGATGATGCAAAACCCTCAGTGAATCTGGGAATCAAGCCAGATTATTTACCCAATCCCAGATGAATTCTAAAAATTGTCTCACTATTTTGAAGTTCACATTCTAGCGTTCACAGACTTCCCCTAGTTAAGTTGTATGCATTTCCACATTCTCAGAATCAAAAAAAATCTTCTTACCAGGCAATTCTGGAATTGTGATATGTTGTTTTTCTTGGAAAAGTTGTCGCAGACCAGCCTGTCAATACATATCATGGCAATATGCATAATCTTGAGTTCCATTGTAGAGTCCAATCTTTACTCTATGGTTAAGTCAGTAAGTCTAGTTTCAACCCTGCCCCTGTGGTTCTGTCTATTGTCTCCCCTCCCCCCATAACTCAATATCATTGCCTGCTTGATTTGTCCAAATACTGAGAGGGCCTGTTGCCTACCGCTACAGTCACCTAAGTCTCTTAGGAAATTTCTTTTTTTGAGGTTCATCTAAGAAAACCTTGGTTTTAAATAATATTGAAAGAAAGAAGAGAGCTGACATCAAAAAGCCAACTTCCACTGGAGTTCTGCACACAACATGCAAATCGTTATCAAGGAATTAATTCAGCACTTCCCTTGCGGCACAATAGTGATGCATTGATCAATAGCCCCTATCACATTTGTGTCTGCAATGCAAAGGGTCTGCGGAGTTACAGTTTCAGGACAAGGCTATCGGGTCAACGTTTCTCAAGAAACACCAGAAACACTCCATGTCTGACCATATAACTCTGGAATCTGCGTTTTTTTTTCTGCCGAGGAAAAGGTTAAAATTCTTGGTGGTAATTGTCCTGGCATCATGAAAGGAAGATTGAAAGAATGGCTGTCATTTCGGAAAGGAACAGCAAAATTTTGTCACGTTTGTTCATAACTATGGTTGTTGTTCCTTTGTTGGCCTTTTTGAGGTTTAACTCAAGAGTTGCGTTTCAAGACCCTCAGTGCCTTGCATTCAGCCGGAAGCAAATTACCTTTTGGCTTTGTAGCTTCTATTTCTGAAAGGTCACTTTTAACCTCTTCTAAATAGCTTTCAAGGGCTACTGATTTTTGTATTGGTGGTATCCATGTAGATTTGACGTGGCAGGGATGGTTTTTTTTGTCCTCCCCTTGGAATATGTAAATCAGACGCATTCTCCTTGTGAAATGATCAAAGTCACAAAATAGTCCTTGTCTGATCTGTTTTTGTTTTTGTAGCGGGTGTTGGAATGAATTTAAGCCCTTTTGCCAGTAAATTAATCTGGTCGTTTGTAAGTTCTTTATTTGAGAGGTTTTTGTGTGCGTTTTGTTTGCCTCTAGTTTGATAGTTGAACATGTTTGGCAAGACCGCGGTTTCAATCCTAATCTTGTGGATCTCATCAGTTGCCAATTCACTGAATAGACTGTTGCACCCGTACGCAATACAATGTCTAACCATGATGAGAACACGCTGTATCCTCATGAAAATTAATAAAAATACCTCCAAACATAGCCGTTTGCTTTGATTTTACTTGAAAGTTTTACCTGTGTGACCCAATAGCCTCGTTTCGAAACTTCAAAGTCCGCAGTGCTCTCGCACAGTGGGCGTAAATGTGATAAAGGCTATTTCAAGCATCAACATTTCTTTCCCACAGGCAACCCCTTGGGAATTTGAACTTTTGTAGATTGTTTCATTCTAATTCCTGCCTCCCAGTGCCAAACTTGTGTGAAATGCCTTACCAAAGTGCCAGATTCAATGGTCAATTTTTCTTGTATAAAGCAAAATCAATGATGGTGACTTCCTACTCTTTGAACAAGCTTTAAACAAAATCAGTTTTCTTCTGAGCCATTCTGCACTGAATTAACTCTCTTCTGCACTGAATTACCTGAAAACTGCATTTATCTTAACCAATCAGAATTGAGTAATATTTTCATGTATATTATTAGAAGATAAAGCATGTCTTTGTGCTGGAAACACTTGACACTACCAATACAAATTCCCCACTGGGCAAGGATGACTGTAGCTGGCCAGTGGGGAGGGGGAGATCAATTTTGAACCTTCAAATTGATCTGTATATAAATTGGGGTCAAAGCGTAATCATTAAAATATTTATTTCTTTTGGAATACAAAACATGTCTATAAACAAATGTAACCATTGGTAACAAATTGTGCTCCATGAACTCATTGAAAGTGACGTTTTGATGACTTTTTGCCAAACTTAATGATATGAAGGTGCCAAATAGATAGCTTCAAAGACAGTTAGCAACTCTAATGCAAATTCATGGCGAGACAGAAAGAATATGTGAAGATAAATGAATGTTTGAAATACTCCACGGGGGAATTAAAAATAACAGTTACACACTCGCAAATTGTTTTGGACTCCCCGGTGGGCCAGCTAATTAATGACTGACGTTCCATAAACACAAATTAAGGATTCACAAACCAAGGAAAATTTAAGTATATCTATCGCAACGACTATAAGCTAGACCTAACTTTTAGACTGCAGCTTAACCTACCTGTAAATCGAAGAACATGCTGTAACGACGAAATATGCAATATTGGTTCTCGTCCAGCCATCTTACTTTCAAAACATATTCCTGTAAAGTTTTGCCAAAGAATATGGAAACAAATGAGAATTTCTCTTCCACAAATTAATTTTTCAGTCAATTAACCAACAGAATTCGAGGAGGAATCAAACAGCAGCAAAACAAGACGAAACAATCCATATAATACGTACGTAACTTTTGCTGCCGGAATGTTCTTTGCTGCGGCGTTTTTCAGCATCGACAACTTTCACATCGGCAATAACACCTCTTTCGTTTGTGGATAACTGCCTCATGGCGCCGAAGGTGGGTTTATAGTTTTGTCCCTTGTCCGCAACAAGACCTTGTTTGAAATTGTTTACATCCCATGATTCTCCCATCTCCTAACCCTTGCACTGATTTTGTTCTCGAAGACAATGAATTCCCACGAAGTTTATTGTGTGACCTGCAGGGCGGAAGCTATTTATGTGGGTCAATATTTAACACGTGAAATCCCCAACTGACTTAATAAAGAATAATCGAAGAACTCGATAACTTGAAATTTTATTTAACTTGCCTGTTAGTAGAAGACAGACTTGAAGGCGGTCCCGATAAAGAGCCAGTACTCACGGATGGCAAGCGATATGGAAACCCCACAGAAGCAGTTTCGTGCACGTTGGAATGCATTATCAATATCGTGACGTGACGTCACAAGGGCTATGAAAGGTCAGGTGTGAATCGGAATATAAACGTCACTCAAAGCATAGTTATAAGCTTTGGAAAAGCACGCTTGATATTGATAACATACGTAAAATCGAAACATTTTCAGGCTGTTCAAGATTCTTGCTGTATCGAATGATACCTGCAGACAATATGTTATCAAAAATGTATCGGTGGATTTCAAATACGTTAAAGAAGTGGAATGCATAATTATGTATGGGGTTATATGGTACTCTTTCCACATTGACTTTCTGGGAAAATTGTTCACATGAAAGACAAATCCATTCATCGGGCTCCTCGTCTATTTTTGCACAACACCGAAAGGAAGAAAGTCGCGGATTACTATAAATTGCCTTGGCAATTTTTAACAACTCTACTATACCTGAAAAAAGGAAATACTCACGTGCAAGGAGTTAAGATATAACTTATTAACTTTTACTATTTTTATCATCCAATTACAGGTCGGAGCCATTCCTGTATTTAGTCGCTAGTATAGCTACGATGAGACGCCATTTTGTTTTGACTTGAAGTACACTGAAGCGACAGAGGTGAATACCGTTTACCCATGCGCTGGATTTGGCCGCAGAAACACGGATTTTGAGTCGTTCGCATGGTTGATTTCCTATTCTGTTGCTTCGAGGCGTCGTTTTCCTTGCCGCTTTTCATTTAAAGAACAACTTCCAAAAATTTGGTACACCCCCTAAAAATTTTCAAAAATTAATTTTCTCCTTTAAACCTTTGGAAATAGGAAAGTGCCTTCGACGAAAATAGAGTTCCTCGGTTTTAAAGGTCAACCCTTATTATTTTCCGCAAATTTCGCTAAATTTTAGACCTAGGACACTTGAGCCCGCGTTGTTGACCGCATAAAAAATTGATAAATATTTACCTAAAAATCAGGCCTGTACGGTCAGTGGTTCGAGGTCAGTGGTTCGAATCCCGTACAGGCCTGATTCTATTATTAGTTAATTTGGTTAGGCAGGGAACGTTAAAAGAACCCACTCACGAGATTACTGTGATGTGGTCTGGCCTGTTAACTGGGAATTGGTGGGAGGGGGCATCTTCAAATAAAGTTTCTTTCGAATGTTTGTAAACTGCTGATGCAGTCCGGCCAAAGTCCCCCAAAAAGTGTTGTGATGCGCATTTGATCATGTCTTCATGTTAATTTGTGCAATATAAATATTAAATTATTATTATTTTTATTATTAGTACTACTTCTATAAAAGTTATGCCAAAAACTGTGTTAGCATAATCCACAAGGGCCTACCTCCGAGCAGCCGTAGAGACAAAATTGCGCGTCTTAAGTTGTCTCATGAATTACCGACCATTTTATTTATTTATTTATTTAACAATTTTATGGCAACATAGTAAACAAAAGAAAGAAAATAGAAATGCCACAGGGATAGTCCGTAAAAGAGTCAAAGACCCCATGCTCAGACGGACCACCCAGTATGCGGTATCTTGACAGCAATAAACTTATCAGTAAATTTTGATTTCTGCGTGGTTCATTCCACCACATTTCACCTCACTCCTCCACTTCAATGATAATTGAACTTTGGTCTTAAATAATACACGTGATTTTAAAATCGAACGAACGCGCGGTGCGAGTTTGATTTAAAGAAGCCTTGATATCCGATTTGTTGTTGTGGTTTAGTAAAGTTTTCGCATTGGCTGGGAAAAAGACGCGATTTCGAGAAAAAATTGGTGCAATTCGTGAGTAAATCGGATCGCAATGATCACCAGTGATTTCAAAATAGATGCTATAAAGTGTTTTAAGAATATTCATCAAGCTCTCTTGCCCAATTTTCAAACCATAAAATCTAATAGAATGTCTTCGATTCAAAGTTAATTCAAGACGAGGTTTTTGCTTCATCAAGTCGTAACGCTGAAAAGTGAACGCCCCACATTGTAAACTACAACCTGTTCGCAAATATTTTGTCCCGCGCCCTGTAAAAATATTTGAAGGATAGCAAGCACATTAGACTCCATTTGGCGCAAATATGCTAATATGGATGTCCTTAGACATGGCCCTGTCTACGGTTTCCCCTGAGCTTCGCTCGCAATACAAATCATATCCATGCATAAATACTTGTGCATATGTTTGCACCACCGAAGCAGTGGTTTCCATCGCTCGAAATGGACAGTATTATTCGTCATTACATCTCAGAGTCGCTCGAATCAAAGAAAAACTACAAACACAAGCAGACACTTAGTCTCCTTCGCAGTCGTTGTTTGGGTTCGTCACGCAACGCGCCCTCCTCCACCAACCGGCCTGTGGTGAAGGGAGCGTTGCGTGACGATCCCAAACAACGGCTGCGAAGGAGACTAGCAGACATCTGCTTTCGCACAATAGGCAAACTAAAAGCAAGCCACATATCAAATATTTTTATCCTTCGCCACTGTAGTGTGCTCGAAAATTAAATTGTCTCTGTTACAGTGAAACGAACTCAACCTGGGCCACCCAACGTTTTTTAGCCAATTACAAGACAAGTATGGAACAAAAGAATGGGAGTTCGTTCACCAGCGGTCAAATTAAACTGCTCTTTTGACTGGAGTCGATGTGAAGACATGCGAAAGCTTCTAGTTTTTTTACGGTGAAATAAATATGTTGTTTATTTCGTTTACGGTAAAAGCGAATAAATATTTACCTAATAGCGGCCGGTAATTTTGAAGACTGAACAGCCTCAACGTACGTAAGTAACGAATAATGCTGGGTAAACCAATGAAATTTATTTTTCGAAACACGGTCTGGAATGTCGGAGACAAGAACTTGTATAATTTACCGAGTATTGCTGCCGGGAATTTTAAAGACTGAACGAACTCAACGTAAATTTACCAAATTACGGCTGAGTAAACTTTTATAACAAAAATTTTTCGATATAGGGTATGGAGTTTTGAAAAAGAAAGCTTGTACAACTTACCGAATTTTGGGGCCGGGAGGTTTGAAGACTGCAAGGACTCAGACTTAAAGAAATTTACTAAATTACGAACGGGTTAACTTATAAAATATATATTTCGAAACACGTTCTGGAATGTCGAGGATGAAAGCTTATATTATTTACGGAATAATGCGGCTGGGAATATTGAAGACCAAACGGACTCAATACAAATGTATTTGCGGAATTGACACGGCCTGAGATTTTGAAGACGAAACGGTTTTACCTCAAATCAGTGAATGTTTGAAATACTTCCCGACTTTCAAACTACAACGCAAACGGAATCAACCACCGGTAATACATGCAAAAACTAAATTTGAAATTTTCTTTGTCCTTGTGATTGGTTACTAAAATTCTCGGTAAAATTGTAGATACGGCCGTTTTTCAATGATATTTTAAAAATATACTTGTGTTGAGCCGGTTTCGCCTTGAGGTTTAGCCGGCTGTAATTTGATATATTTATTCACATTGATCGAGCCCGTTTCGTGTTCAAAATTCGCGGCCGCAATATTCAGTAAATTACATAAGCTCTCGCCTTCGGCATTCCAGGCCTTGTTTCGGAAAATATATTGTATAAAGTGAGTCGGCCGCAATTTGGTAAATTTAACTTTAGTCAGTATAGTCTTCGAAATTACCGGCCGCCATTCGGTAAACATTTATTCACCTTTACCGTAATAGAAATGGAAAATATTATATTTTTTGCTTTAAAAAAACTATAAGCTTTCGCATACCTTCACATCTGATCTAGTCAAACGAACAGTGAAATTTGACCCTTATGGTGATTGATCCGCTGATGAACGAACTTCAATTTTTTGTTCTAAACTCGTCTTGTGATTGGCTAAAAAACGTTGGGTGGCCCCGGTTGAGATCGTGTCACTGTAATAATCTCAAACCAAAACACACGTCCTACTCCCTTTTCACGTGTCACCCCGAGGGACACGTAGGACTTGTAGATGGTTTCCTTTAGTGTTTCACTTCCTGTTTCAGCTAACAATGTCCGTATGTAACTCGAGCTCCCCTCCCTCGCACGAGGCAGCAGTCACGATTACGGCCCCAAATATTAAAAATAGGAATGTTACACATGCAAGAGTTATGTTTAGGGATGAGTAAGTTAAGATGGGACTCTTTGAAAGTTCCAAGTTAAAAGCCTTCTTTAGGAATCTTATTTACCACCCATGCTGTTTACTCCGACGAATGAGCTCGAAGAGCTCTCCCTCAAAATTGCCAGACCCTTCTTCCATCATATCATGTTCTATTTTGAATCTTCAACAAATGTTGCCCGCTCCCTATTTCAGAAACACGCCTTGACGATCTTATTTTTTCCCCTGGATATGGAAGGACGATAAGTTTTGGGTTGTTAACTCGTAACATTACATGATGGTAAGAGATCACAGCACCGTGCAATGTGGTAAGAGATCACAGCACCGTGCAATGTGGTAAGAGATCACAGCATCGTGCAATGTGGTAAGAGATCACAGCATCGTGCAATGTGGTAAGAGATCACAGGACCGTGCAATGGGATTGTGATCCGTAGACTTTCCGAGTAATTCCAAGAGAAAATAGGAGAGAAAACGAACCAACAACATTTAAAACAACAATTTAATAGTTTTTCTGTGAAAATAGAAACATTTGAAATACGCTTATTCGCAAAAGAGTGATGTAGTAATCTTCAATGAAAGAGAAAAAGTCTTTCTGTGCTATAATGAAAAATTTTCCTCCGTTTATATCAACGATATTCAATCAACCTCCAAACGAAACGCAACAACTTTCATCTTGTCCTTTCTTAGGACTAACGGTGATTAGATGAAAAAAAAAAAACAACAACAACAACAACAACAGAAACGAAGTAAACACTTTTGCACTGCAGACATCTTCCATTAAAGGAAAAACAGCTTGTCAGCGAGTTCACTACTGGGTTCCTTGTGAAGTGATTGTCCAACCAGGAAAGCCAACTTATGGGCGTACTGGCAAGGAGCTGGTACGCGTACGGTACCCTATAAAGGAAAAGAACTTGATAAGTAAAATGTATGCGTAACAGAAATATCTAATCAGGGAATGAGAAGATTTGGCTACCTTATTCTGATTGGGAGTGGACATTTCAATTGAATAGTGGTTCAACCTTTTGAAAGAAATTTTCGACCTGATCCCCTGACTTAAATGTGCTGACGACCGGATCCCCTGACTTAAATGTGCTGAGTAATCGACCTTTATCACCGAACCTTTATTTACTAGTCTCCTCTCTAACAAAATTAGAGTTTCTTTCACTGTCTTTGCTTCTTTCAATTCTTCACTTCTCGTCAAAATAATTTCCCTCCCTCTATACGACAAATACATATTTGTGTCACAACAAAGTTATCAGCCTCAACTTTTAACTTCAAGAAATACAATAACAGAAATTTAACTTACCGGCCAGTTATAGTACAGATGTGTTAACTTGTAAGTAAGCCGCTGGAAGTGATCTGGCATCAGACCAGCGCTGTCTTCGATCACGTTGTAATGGGTGGGTGAAACTGTTCCTTGACGAACTGACTGACTTACACAGAAAAAGTCATACCTTGTAAAAACACAAAAATAGGCCAAATTCTAACCTCTGTAATTCTATAAGGGATAAACACAAACACAAACTTAAAATCTTGCCAGCTCTTAATTTAAGGCATACCACTGCTTCTTTGTGATAACCGAGTCAACAACAGTGCCAGGGGGTGGATTGCTCAGATTGACGTCCCCATTAGTTTTGTGGAAGATTCTGGCACTGATCCTCTTCTTCACTATGACTACTGCAAATTTCGGTCTAAACAAGAATAAAAGGCAAGTTATAGTAACTACAAAGACTGCTTAATTTGCAAGGCTGAATTTTGAGCACGAGAGTGCGAAACAACAGGCTACCCTCTACCAAATGAATAAAGGCTGACAGTTTCGAAATAAACTGTTTGGGGCTGCGTCGGTGGGAGTAACGAAATAACTTGGATATATCAACAAAGTTGAAGTGGTAAATTGGCCACCGTAACGATTACAAAAGCTGACGTTTCGAGCGTTAGCCCTTCGTCGGAGCGAATAGAGGAATTGTGGGTTGTGTGTGCTTTTAAAGGCAGAGAATGGAGCTACGTTATTGGTGGGAACATGGCAACGAGAAAAACAAGAATAAATTAGTGGAATGAAAAGCGTTCGTTGATCCCTGTGGGATTTAGACTGCCGGTTTGAAAGATGAGCTTTTGTTCAAGATTTTTACGGCTTTCCGTGCTACCTAAGTGTAAGGAAAGACCGCAGATTGCCATATGTTGCTTAGAATGATTAGGTAAATTAAAATGTCTAGCGACTGGTTTCGATGTGTCCTTGTCATTCCTTTCCACGTCTCGAAGGTGTTCTCGGAATCGGTCACCTAGTCTTCTGCCTGTTTCGCCGATGTATATCTTTTTGCAATAAGTGCAAGTTATGCAATAGATTACATTGGCGGAGGTGCACGTGAAGTGATCGGTGATCTTAATGGATCGTTTAGGTCCCGATATTTTATCAGTGTTGTGAATGAAAGGACACGTTTTGCATCGTGCACGAGCGCATTTAAAAGTGCCTGGTTGGTCATTAGTCTGAAAAGAACTTCTGACCAAAAAATTGCCTATGTTTTTGTCGCGTTTGAATGAAATGAGCGGAGGCTGCGAAAAGATAGTGCTTGTCTCTGGATCGTTTTGAAGTAATTTAAAGTTTTTAAGAATGATGGATTTAACTGAGTGGTTGTGAGGGTGAAACGTGAGAGTGAATGGAATGCGGTCGGAATCTTCCTTATGCGACGTTTGTAGTGCTGAATGTCGATCAATAAGTTGAGCGCGGTGGTAACCCGCTTGAACGACGGAAACAGGGTAACCACGTTTATCGAAGAACTGGCACATTGACTCTGATTTGTGGTG